TGCAGAAAACGCATATTGACGAGGGGTTGTCTGTGTGTGTCTGTGTGTCCGTGTGTGCATCTGTCACAGTTTTTCATCTCATGACCTACAAAAGCTACAGGGCTGAAACTTTGGGAGCTTAATCTACATGCACATACGGGCCCTGATCCCCAAAATGGACGCCATTACCCGCGTGGTACCCGTGTACGAGTCCGCCAAAATTTTTTTCGGGTAAGTTCATAACTTGGGGATCTGAAATGCCAAAAAGCTGAAATCTTAAGGAGATGTCTCCCGTCCGAGTAGGTATTAAAGAGTTCAAACTCAGCCCCCGGGTAAGCGTGGTACCCACTTACGGCCCGTGAAAGTTTTTTTCGGGTAAGTTAATAACTCGGGAATTTGAAAAGCTAATGGACTGTAATTTTGAGAGGATATTCCCTGTTCACCTTACTCTCATTGAGCTCAAACCCAGACTCAGCGTAAGCGTGGTACCCACGTGCGGGCTCACCAAAGTTTTCCTCGTGTAAGTTGCTAACTCGAGAACCTGAAAAGCTAGAAAACTTTAGTTTTAAGAGCATGTCTCCTGTCCACGCAAGTCTCAACGAGCTCAAACCCAGACGTCGGATATGCGTGGTACCCACGTACGGACCCGTGAAAGTTTCTTCCAGTATGTTGCTAACTTAGGAGCCAGAAAAGCTAGAAAGCTGAAATTTTGAAGGGGTGTTTCCTGACAGTTCTAACGGCCAGTCCTAATTTGTTTAGCTAGAAGCATTTGCTGAAAAAACCAGTGCCGGTAGCGACAAAAACTGCGGAGAACTATGCAAAAAACGCATCCTCGCACGGGCAGCCCGTACGTTGGCCAATTATCTTCCGTGGATTCCTAATGCACTGCAGGATCACTGAGTCGCTGAGATTTGCTGTGGATTTTCAAAATCTTTGACAGGGAGCATGAAAACAGCGCCTTGACTTTTTATTTGGAAATCCTTGCATGTCAGGTCTTCAGTCAGCACTTGAACATTGGACGATATTTTCATCGACGTATTAAAAATTTCCTGCGTTCATTTTCGAAAATCGTAAATTTTCAGAACAAGCAGATGTGAAAGAGTTGGAAGACATCACGGGCCTTCTGAGCTATGAAGTTTCGAGTCGTCAGGCAATGATCGGATGTCTAACGGATGGTAGTAGCGAAACATTTTGGGAAAGTGGTGAGGAGGTTAGTTAACAGACACATATTTACTACGAATTCTTAATTTTTGGCCAGAAGTGCGCCAAACACTTGTACATTTTGCAGCGGTTCAGGTTTCTCCTATGTTTAGCACGTTTCTTTCACGGAATTTCATCCGTGCATTAGCGTAATTTCATCTGTTTTTTTTCGCTCCTTGCTGTACATTCTTTATCTTTCTTATGTGTCCTTTTCTGCACTTGTTCATCCTAGCAATTTTGCCGTACATTCACGTATCAACTTGGGGTTTGCGATGTTGATTTTCAACCGAAATTCTGAAGAATCCGTGAATTTTGAAAGTTAATAGAATGCCAAAGCTTATTCAAGATGTTTGAACTTGTTGGATCAGTGACCGGGCATTTTTACACGTTTTTTGCAGCTATGCAATGCGGAAAACGCATATTGACGAGGGGTTGCCTGTGTGTCGGTGTGTCTGTGTGTGCGTCTGTACCGATCTTTCATCTCAAGATCTGTAAAAGCTACAGGGCTGAAACTTTGGAAACGATCTATTTGCATATACGGGTCCCAATCCTTAAAATGGGCGTCCTTACCCGCGTGGTGCCCACGTACGAGCCCGCCAAAGTTTTTTATGGGTAAGCTGCTAACTCGGGAACCAGAAATGCTGGTAGGCTGAAATTTTTAAGAGACGTTCCCCGTTCAAGTAGGTTTTATTGGGCTCAAACTCAGCCCCCGGGCATGTGTGTTACCCACGTACGAGCCCGCCAAAATTTTTTTTGGGTATGTTGTCAACTCGGGAATCTGAAAAGCTAGAAGACTGGAATTTTGATGGGATGTTTCCTGACACTCCTGGCAGCCCGTCTGAAATTCTTTTAGCTAGAAGCATCTGCTGGAAAAAATAGTGCCGTTAGCGACAAAAATCTGCGAGGAGCTGTGCAAATAACGCATTTTCGCACCGACAGGCCATGCGTTGGCCAGTTATTTTTATCTGTCTGTATGATAATGTTCAGCCGCTATTTCAGGACAAAAATCGTCCACGCTTTGTAACAGTTCACTGTAGTGTTAAAAATTACTCGTCAACACTGTTAACTGTTTATCTGGATAATGTACGTGATGAAGGATACCGAACATGTCTGATTACCATTGCTACTTCAGATTTTAATGAAAGTCGCCGTCAAGTCATCCATACGGAATTCTTCGATCACGTAAGATCCATTACACTTTCTAATACATGCAAACACTCTAACCATATTCTTTTAAGTAGTGGTCACTCGGTGGCGGTTTATGAAGTCTGTAACGGAGCGGGTTTTGCATTCCAGAAGCTTGTTTTCGATCATAACATTTTTGCACTCAGGAATCCGGGATGAATGTATTGAAGTTGAAATATGTCCAAAATGTAGTGGATATTTAATATATCATTGCCAAATTGAATTCTAGGCATACTTTATCCCAAAAAATTATGTTATATACAAACTTCCAAGCTATTCTCATTTCTTTCCTGGGCTATATTTTATGCGCACTTTGGCTGCAATGTTTGAAACACATCGTTGAGCGGAATCTGAAGAAACACGTCATAACCAATTTGTGCATTTCAGCATTTCATTGGCTGGGTAAAGTGCTGCATTGTTGGTCTAAAATGTGTACAGGTAATATTTCGTGGCAGCGATCCATCCGTAAGGGTACGTCAGGTGAGTAGGATTTTTT